ATAAACTTAACCAAGGAGGTGAAAGAACTGTACTCTGAAAACTATAAAACATTGATGAAAAAACAGAAGATGACACAAGCAAATGGAAAGATATTCCATGTTTATGGACAAAAAATCAAATATTGTTAAAATGTCCATACTAGCCAAAGTAATCTACAGATTCAAGGAAATTCCTATCAAAATGCCATAGCATTTTGAACAGAACTAGAACAAACAATCCTAAAATTTGTAGCAAATCACAAAAGACCCTGAAGAGCCTAAACAATCTTGAAAAAGAACAAAACTGGATGTATCACAATTCCAGATTTCAATTTATACTATAAAGTTGTGGTTGTAGTAGTAACCAAAACAGTATGGCACTGGCACAAAAATAAACACATAGATCAATGGAACAGGATAAAGAGCCCAGAAACAAACCCACCTTTATATGGCCAATTAATCTTTTTTTTTCTTTTTTCTTTTTTTAAAAATATTTTTATTTATTTCTAGGAGAGAGAGAGAGACAGCGTGAGCAGGGGAGGGTCAGAGAGAGAGGGAGATACAGACTCTGAAATAGTCTCCAGGCTCTGAGCTGGCAATCAGCACAGAGCCCGATGTGGGGCTCGAACCCACAAACCACGAGATCATGACCTAAGCGAAAGTCGGACGCTTAACCGACTAAGCCACCCAGGCGCCCCTATATGGCCAATTAATCTTTAACAAAGGAGGCAAGAATATGCATTGGATAAAGATAGTCTCTTCAACAAATGCTGCTGGGAAAACTAGACAGCAACATGCAAAAGAATAAACAGAAAGTTAAACTCAAAATGGATAAAGTCCTAAAGCCTGAAACCAGAAAACTCATAGAAGAGAGCACAGACAATAATATCCTGACATTGGCCATAGCAACATTTTTCTAGATATGTCTTCTGAGGCAAGGGAAATAAAAGCAAAAATACACTTTTGGGACTACATCAAAATAGCTTCTGCACAGTGAAGGAAACAATCAGCAAAACTAAAAGGCAACCTACTGAATGAGAGAAGATATTTGCAAATGACATATTTGATAAAGGGTAGTATCCAAAATATATAAAGAACTGAAATATATAAACAACTCAATACCCCAAAAACAATCCAGGTAAAAAATGAGCAGAAGACATGAACAGACATCTCTTCAAAGAAAACACACAGAGATTAGAGAATCTCCACAAAGATTAGAGAAATTGGAGGTCTCATACATTGCTGATGAATTGTAAAATGGTGCAGCTACTTTGGAAAACAACTTGACAGTTTCTCCATGTGTTAAATACACAGCTTCCATAAAAAAAACCAGTGATTCCACCACTACACATACACCCAAGAGAAATGAAAACATTCAGCCACACAAAAAATTACACCTGAATGTTCACAACTGCATTGTTCATAACAGCTAAAAAGTGAAAACAACCCAAATGCCCATCACTTGATGAGGTATAAATAAAACATGATGCATCCATGCAATGAAATATTATTCAGCAATCAGAAAGAATGAAATAACTGATACATGTTACAACATGATAAATCTTTAAATCATTCTGTTAAATGAAGGAATCCAGTCATAAAAGACTACATATTGTATGTTCCATTACATTACATATAATGTTCAGAATATGAAAATCTATAGAGACAGAAAACAGATTAGCAGTTGTCAAGGGCTGGGGACATTGAGAGAAATTGGGTGTGACTGCTAGTGGCCAAAGGGTGTCTTCTGGAGAAAGTAAAATGCTCTAAAACTTAGATTGTGATGAGAATTGACTAATGTGAACATAGTATGATATGTATTGTGAATACTAAGACACTATACTATGAAAATATTAAAAATCTTTGAATTATACAATTTAAAAGGGTAAATCTTATGGTATATGAACTACATCTCACTAAAACGTTTTTTAAAAAAGATGATGAATCATTGCTTTTTTGAAATGCTCTTTACAATTTATGGAGTTGTATATTTTAAATACATAATTATTTGTGGAAATAAAAGCACACTGGTCACTAACATACTAGAATTCTATTGATTTTTTAATTGTATCATAATAATGAGAAATTTCCTAACAATTTAAATTCGTGAAAACAAATATAAAGGAGAAGCCTAAACCAGGTTTTGAAAATAAATGTGCCAAATTAAAGGATATTTGAAGACAATAAAAATATGAACTCAGAAAATTGGTCACTTAAAAATCCTTCTCAGTAAGACAGTTTAATTCATGCAAAATTAGGATGGACTCATGAAAAGGGACAGCAGGAGAAAATGTAATGACATTAAAGTGGTTGCATGAGAACATTCCATTCCTAGAGCTACATAGGACAAACCTGCTTTTGTCTTCATGCCCCCACAACTCTAAGCATTGTTTCCTTGCTTCCCTTCAGTCTTGCCTTCTTCAGTTTAACTTAACCCCCATAATTTTTGATAGGCAATAATTTTCTGATGATTCAATATTCTGATTTCCCATCCCTGTTTTATCAATGACACTAGAAGACACAGCATCCAGACGTGGTCTGACTAGCACAGAATACAATGAGACTCTCCTCTTTCGATCTAAATTAGCAAGTTGGCAAATATGTGGTTTGCAGGTCACCATTCTCTTGTCTCACATCTGTGACTACAATATTCCTTCTACAGGAAGCCTTCTAACGAGTTATTGCTGCCAATTGAAAAAAGGCAACTAATTATTACCTATTCATTTGTACTCAGGTATTTTATTAATAGTCAGCTGGCCAGGGTATAGGGCTGGGTGCAGTCCTGGGCATGAGACCCAGGGAAACAGAGAAGCTCTGGGCATGACAAATGTGTTCACAGACTGGGTCCCTCTCTTGAGTGATAGTGTTGATGGTGACACCTCACGTTATTACTCTTAAACTCACATGAATAACACAGCAATTAACTAGAAAGCAGAAAGAGAGCCCCTAACATCCCCTCTGAGTGACCTCTCATGAGCAGGAGAAGTGAATGTGACCATAGAAAGACTGGATAGTCAGTGTGGGCAGGGGGGATGCATTGATCCAGACAGGGAATATCAGATGTTGAGAAAAGAATCATAACACTTCTAAAGGAAATTATCTACATTAAACTAAGGCTACTGGCATTTCATATATGAATTTAATTAGCTCTGAACATGCAATTTGATGATTGATCATAAACACATATGTTTCAGTGTATTGAAATAAGCCACTGGAAAAGCATGGTCACATGATATAGTCTGCATTCAATACCTAGACAATAACTTTGCTTGATTCCTTTAGCTAGTAGTTGAGTTGCAGTCTATCACTGTTAACCTATTGGAGCTTTGGTCTTTTTCTTTGCTTTTCCCTTGAGCTCTATAGGATCTTGTTTGTAAAACTGACTTTCCTTCCTTACAGCTTTTGTTGCATCATGGCACGCAGCAGAGCCAGAAAGCTGTGTATAGAAGCAAAATTAATAAAATCTCAGATCCTGAGGATTCCCAAATCCTAGCAACTGACTGAAGAAGGCAATAAGGATCAGAGATAGGAAGGGAATTCTACCATGTCAAGCCTGGGGAGCCATATCCTGTCCTAATAGAAATGTCCATGGGCCAGAGGCACATGACCAGAGGCCACGTTCCCATTATCAACTAATAGAATCAGACCTTAGAGGTCAAATTTCCTAATGCTTATATTTTACAGATGAGAAACTAAAGTCCAGGGAGACGTAAATGTTAGTTACATGGCTAGTTAGTGACAGAGTTAGTACTGGAATATGCTTTTTGCTTAACACATAGCTATGGCATGAACTGTGTCTCTCCAAAAAAAGACATGCTAAAGTTCCAAAGTGCCGGTATCTCAAATATGGCCTTATTGGGAAATAGGGTGATTATACATAGAATTGGTCAAGGTTATACTAGAATAGAGTGGGACCCTAACCAATCTGGTGTCCTTATTAGAAGACAGTCATGTGAAGACACAAGGACACAAAGGAAGTATGCCACGGGAAGATGGAGGCAGAGACTGAAGTTACTCAGCAGGAAGCTGAGTGAGGAATGTCACAGATTGCTGGCAAACACCAGGTAGTTTTTCCAGGAGCTAGAAAGAGGCAAGAAAAGACTCTCTTGTAGGTTTCAGAGGGAGCATGGTCCTGCCAACACTTTGATTTCGGATTCTAGCTAGCCTCCAGAACTGTAACACAATACATTTCTGTTATTTTAGACCACTCAGTTTGTGATACTTGTTACCCCAGCCCTGAGAAACTAATCCACACACCCTCAGAAAAATGTCTCTTCCTACCACATCACTCATACTGAGCCCTGCGGATGGATGATCAAGAGACTTACCATAGGGCTGCTTCTGAGTAGAATGATTTTGTCTTTATGATCACAGAAATTGCAGAAATACTACTCCACAACCCCAATTATGGCCACCATAACGTCACACCCACTTTCAGACACCAGCCTCCAAGTGCAAGAGACATTTTTTTCTTTTTCTTTTGTGCTACATTTTAAGTTCCATCAGGACCAGAGGAGCAGGAATCACTTGATTTAAAAGATAAGAAAAGATAGCACTTGATTTAAAATATTCTTGAAATATTTTAAACATCTCCCTCACTGTTCCATGATATTGTGTCATCAGACAGAAAGCCCTTTAAATTAAGCACTGAGCACTCCAGAGCCTTCCTAAAAATAAATCAACCCAGGAAAGATAATACATGTCATCCCATGTGAATGAGTCCATCTGAATGCACACACAGAGCAGCTCCAAAGAAGGGGCAGAATGGTGTGGTGACAAGAGCATAAGCATAAGCCTCAGAATTCTAGAAATCCTAAGTGGCAGCATGGTTCTGCATGTGCCCCTGGGAAAACCATTTTACTTCTCTGAGTTTCATTATCCATAAATAAAGATATCAATACCCACCTTTCTGGCTTCATGTAACGAATATAGATAAAGTTAACACGTACAATTCATTTGGGTATACAATTAGTGAATACACTTTTGTTGACATTTTCATTATTCTTTTATTAAATCCCAGTCCTGGACAAAGATCTTGGTGGAAAATCTGATTATGTCATCTCAATCCTTCTCCATCCTATGCCGAAAGCCTGAAACAAAAAATAGGTGATCCCATTTGACTCTGGGTTTATCTGTCTTACTAGAGTGTATTTTCATGATGCCATTGGAATAGGGGACCAATGCCTAACTATGTCCCTGCACTAGTAATGCAGTAAACAAAACTATTACACGTAGTAGGCAGTAAAAAAATGTTGTTGTATGTGGAAATTATCCTACATGATCTATTTTCCTCAGGATTCGCAATCATTTAACATGGGCAAGTTAAAGATTCTTATCCTAACACTGATTACTTTTGCTCTTGAGGAGCACCATACAAACTTCATCTAAGTTTACCTGGACTCAATCCTAAAATAAGTTAGGTTGTACTAGAGTTTTCCAAAGCCAATGTTGCATCAATGATACTTTGCTTTAATCATATTTTAAAATAAGTCAAAGTTCTTTGGATACAGAAGACTAAGAACAGAATACTCACACTTTCTGGTTTTTCTCTTACCCCAAATTTTCATTCATAGGCTTCCAAATACACATTGTCTTTCACAGAAGAGAATGGCCTCAGCTTTTAAATCTGAAATCTTCAAAGGGGATGCAATGCACAAAAAATGTGATACCTGGCAACACGGAATGGGATCAAATTTTAACCCATACATTTTATTTCCCTTGATTCTCTATTGATTCATCATGCCCCTTTCCTTCTTGCCTCAATATATAGACTTAAATGTGCAACCTTCTCTACGTTCGAACTGTTGTATCTCAGGTACGTCTAGTTCCTGGGTTTAATGCTCAGAACACCATTACTTGAGGACTGTGACAGACAAACAACAAAAAAATATTGCTGTGGAAGCATTAGAGCATTCTTAATGCAGCTTTCAACAAAAGCTGTATCTTGACTGCCATCTAGAGAAAACTAGAGATACTGAAATTAGCCAAGCTAATCTAGTATCTTGATGGGTTTATTTTTGTCTAACCCTTTGGTGAAAAACCATTTTAAATAAGAAACGGGAAATATTTAAATGTATTACGACTTAGGATGGTACCACTAATGTGTCTTTTACAAAACAATAGGCAGCAATTGCATTATTTCTAAGGAGAAATGATACTATTAGGGATAGCAATCTGCTTGCCTTTGAATTTATTTTATGGATCCCTTGTGAAAATATACATCAAGGTAATGTAATTATTATATCTACATAATTGTAATGGTGTAATTAAAACTGGGTGGTTGCTCTCATTAAATTCTCCAGATTGTGGTTTATTTCCTGCTGGCATGAGTTTTCATCTTAAAACAGATTTTAGAACCTTTCTATACTGTTCTTGTGATAATAATACTAATATTACTAGACAAGAAATTTCTCCAGTTTTGTAAAAATTTTTTCAGCAATTGTATTGTGAAGTGGTACCGATAAAACTTAAAGACACGGAGAATCTAGAAATGATTTCTCTAGGAAAACCATCCCAAAGTGTCCTCTCTTTATGTGCAACAAATACACCGGCTTTGTGCAGACTTCTGCTACCTAGAAATTTAAAAGCAGCGGTGGTAGTCACTGTCTTTTACATCACTGTGGGAATTATCTGTTACTGAAATGCCAAGAAGTCAAAACTTGAGCTTACTGAAATTCTCAACTATTTTCAACAGGGTTTTTATTTGTAACAGTTTGCAAATAATGGTGAGGAGAGTGTTAAATTCAGGAGACTGGAAAACTGAAACATAGCAGGATGAATTATAACGAATGATGCACATCTTAAAGCTGTACATTGAGATAGGGAAAGGGATGTGAAGAATTCACAGAGTATTAATATAAAAACCATAGACTAAATTTTGACCCCATCCTTTGTTGCTAGATATTACACTTTCTGTGTATTGCATCCTTTTTGAAGATTTTAGATTTCAATCCTAAGTTGAGCTTCTGTAACAGAGAATTCATGTTTGCAAGTCTGTGGATGAGAATTTGGGGCAAGACAAAATCCAGAAAGTATGAATATTCTATTCCTAGTCTTCTATATCCAAAGGACTTGGGCTTTTTTCAACATATGTTTAAAGCAAAGGATCACTAATGCAACACTGGTGTGGGAAAGCTCTAGTATGAGACAACTTATTTCAGTGTTGAGTTCAGGCAAATATAAATGAAGGCTGGGTGCTTCCAAAAGGGGTCAGCAAACTTTTTCTTGAAGGTTCAGGTAGTAAAAATGTTTTATTTTCCCAACCATAAGGTCTTACTAATCAATTACCATTGTAGCATGAGAACAGCCAGAGGGAATATGTCAACAAATGGGTATAGCTGTCTTCCAATAAAACTCCACCCACAAACAGGCAGTTGTGTTTGGCCAACCACTGTGTTGGGACAAAAACCTTTAATTTGCCCACTGTAAAATGACTGTCAGATTGTTCAGCCTAGGAATTATCTGTGACTGAAGTGTATAAGGAGCCAAAACTTAATGTAGGAGACCACGCATAGCTTATACCAACTCCAACCTACTCTAAACTACTCTCAGTTTTGTATTGTTTTGTTTTGTTTCATGCATCTGGTACATCTTCTAACTGTACCAAACTTAAAATACTCCCAGGGAAAATAACTTTTCTTGGATAGTGAAGAATTCAATACACAAACTTACAAACACACACACACACACACACACATACACACACACAAATACTCATATTAATAATAGAAGCAGAAAAGTGAAAGACAAGTAAATTTAGAGTAGACAAACATTTATGTATTAATGTGTATCTCTGGGCCTGTTTTTGGTCACTATTATTATCCTATGACTACACTCTATATTGAGCTATGAGACGCATTTTCATTTTAAACTTAGCTTCTATCTCACCATCGGTCCTCTCCCATGAGTCATGCCTATAAAAAAGGCAACCACTTATCCTTGCACTTGTAAGAGCTGTTGATATTAGATGGAACACATATGAAGAGTGAGGCTGTGGAGAAAATAGAAATCAAGCACAGTCTGAAAAGTTCTGCTTCAATCAATTGTAGATGTTTTTCTGGGCTTTTTGGTCTGTTTCACTGTTTCAAGGATAAGAGAAAGTTTGATCTCCAGTTTGATAGATTGCCAGAATCACCTGATAGATTATCAGTTTCGCTTCTTCCTCCATGAAACCATATTACTATGAACTCCCATAATCAATTACTTCCATGGTACTTTTTTCTTTCTGCCTTTTAATGGCCAGAGTAGAGTACAGAGACAGAACATAGATTCTAAGGAGGATAGACCTGAATTCTAATTTCTGCTGCTGTGTATACCGGCCTTGTGACCAGGAGACTGCTCTGAAACTCAGTTTTGTCTGTATAAAATGAAGGCAATACTAATACTCCATACTAATAAAGGTAACACGTATATTGCAATATTGTCATTGAGATTAAATAAGAACACTTGTGAGGGATCTTGCGCATCGCTCAATCAATGTTAGTTTATCTCTTCTCCCCACCACCACCCATCCCTTCTCTAGGACAACACTGCTGAAGTCTGGGACTGATTTATACATATCCTGCCTCATTACATGCCTGCTGCTAAACTGGACACAGAGCAGGTGCTTTATAAATGTTTCTTGAATAACAGTAGGTTCTCATATTTTTCTTTGTTATTGAAGATCTTACCATTTTAAACTGCTATAAAGATAAGCCAAAAAAAAAAAAAGAAAGAAAAAAAAGGAGCACCTGATAGGCTCTGTCCATTGGGCATTCAACCCGTGATTTCAGCTCAGGTCACGATCCCAAGGTCATAGGATCGAATCCCATGTTGAACTTCATGCTGAGCATGGAGTCTGTTTGCATTCTGTCTCTGCCCATCTCCCCTGCTCTCTCTCTTTCTCTAAAACAAAATTTAAAAGGATTTTAAAAGATAAGCCAAAAGGTATTCTCTGAGTCATAAAAAGAGACAAGTTTTGTAAATTAAAAAACAAAAGAACCTACTCCTAATATTGGTATATTATAAGAAAAGTAGGCACTTAAATATCTGCTGAAAAATGATGACACGTAAGTATGTGGACTACATTAAGGAGATACAGTTATGACATTTTTGTTCTGTTTTTGATGGAGATGATTTGACCCACAATATTATCAAACCTGTGGAATAACAAGGTGCTTTGTCATGAGGTTTTATTACCTATTGTTAACTGCTGTAATTCTCACCATGACTCATTGGTCAAATTTATACAGCACTTTGCTGCTCATGGAGAATCTTTATGTTTATCCTTCCTGTCAAAACTGGCCTTATTTATTTATTTATTATGGTCATATAGAGGTTGACCTCATACAGGTTGAAAGGTTTATGAAAATGTCACTTGGGGAATCATCAAGATTATATGTGACAAATTTGGAGTCATCCAGGCAAAGGAGTTTTGAACAGAAGAGAAAATTAAAGAATCATCTGTGGGGGATACAAGTGGAAAGAGAATAGAACCCAGCAGTTATTTAAAGACAGAGGAAATAGAGCCGGAGTATTGAGAATGCTTAAAAAAAATCACTAGCTGTGGGGCACATGAACAGAGGAGCTAAGATGTCAATAAAATAAAATGGGATTTACGAAATATCGAAAGAGTATATAAAAGGAAACCAATTAAATAGAATATTCTCCTTTGCTTTTCTGTATCTATTCTGGCTCTAAGGGATAGGAGCTACCAATTTGTTTCCTTCTCTTTGCCTTTCTAGCTCTATAAGACAGAAAAAGTAGTTATGCTGACTCAGAATTAAATTTTTATTAGTCACTTTTAAAATTTAAATTTTTCTCATGAAGCATAACTCCTGCCTATTCTGGCTATCATCGCATGTATGATTTTCTAGAATATCAGCATTACAGTAAAGTGAACTGTCACACAGTGTTCTGATTATATTAACAGACATACAGATTTTTTTACCACCCATGCTGTACAACATCCCTGATAAGTTGTCTGTCTGGCCATAAAACTCAGGAGCTGTCTGCAAGAGTGATTTTACTTATCAATAATTAAATATCATTCAATCAGTTTTTTAAAGTTTATTTATTTATTTTAAGAGAGAAAGAGAGACAGAGAGAGGGAGAAAGAGAGAAACAGAGAGAGAGAGAATCCCAAGCAGGCTCCACACTTGGAGCCCACAGCATAGAACCAAACACAGGGCTCCATCTCACAAATTGTGAGATCATGACCTTAGCGGAAACTGAGAATCAGATGCTTAACCAACTGAGCCAACCAAGTCCTCCCCTCCGTCCCACCCCAGTCAATCAGTTTTTAAAGATCAATATGCTTTTAGGGATATTTATCTATACAGGAAAAAAAAAAAACCCATAATCTCCATTATAGTCTGGCAAACATTCTAACTATTCACACCTCTTCCCACCTATCTATAAGTCACTGAATTGGTTATATCCGAACAACTGTGAAATTGTCCTCTCCATCACTTTTTTTTTTTAATTTTTAAATGTGTTTTATTTATTTCTGAGAGAGGGAGAGACAGTGTGAGCAGGGGTAGGTCAGAGAGAGAGGGAGACACACAATCAGAAACAGGCTGCAGACTCTGAGCTAGCTGTCAGCACACAGCCCCATGCAGGGCTCGAACCCATGAACTGTGGAATAATGACCTGAGCCAAAGTCAGTCGCCCAACCGACTGAGCCACCCAGGTGCCCCTGTCCTCTCCATCACTTTAAAACTGACTGTACACTATTTCTTTAATGAATCCCTCTAGGCTTAGACTAGATTGTCTAAAAGAGGAAATTATACCTTCATCCACCAACAACTTTGCCTAGGTACAGTGGTTTTTCCAGAGAAGTAAAATTGCATATATGCCAAAGATAGGCATTCAATATTTATTAACAGCACTAGATTCTTCAGAACAACTCTGATGTGTCCTCACCAGTTTGCATATAAAATGAAAAGAGTTGACACTTAGGGAATGTGTACAACATGTTAGGCTCTGTTTTAATACTTTGCCTGTCATTAAGTCCTCCAATCTTCATGACAACCTCATTAAATAGGTTATTACTATCTTCATTTTGCAGATGTAGTAAAGAGAGAGAATGGTGAAGTAGCTTACCCAAGGGTACATCACTGGTAACAAGAGCCAGAGTCTAACCCAGGCAGTCTTACTCTGAAGTTCACACTTTTTAACACCATGCTCCCAGGCAGACTACTGGGGGTATGCAATACCTTAGATTTTTAGAAACCAGTTTAGTATAAACCACTCATTACTCTTTAAAAAAACAATATGTAAAACAAAAAGCCTCCTAAAAAATAGCACATTAGCTAGATGGAACATCTTTCTAATATGATCCCCTAAAGAAAGAACTGTAAATAATGGAAAGGGGCAAGACCTTCACCATAAACGCCCCAATGACACATACACAAATTTTTATTCTAAAGCCTCTGAGTACTTTACCCTAAAGAAATATAACCAAACTTCTGTGTTTCTTTAAGCTAATCTACGATTCAGCATAACAGAAAATGTACCACAACTCGGTGTATTAAAAACATATGAAATAAATTATAAACCTCAAAAGAGGAAAACTCAGGGTGTCTGGGTAACACAATCAGTTAAGCATCTGACTCTTGAATTCAACTCAGGTTATGATCTCACAGTTTTTGAGTTCAAGCCCTGTATCTGGCTCTGTGTTGAGAGCACGGAGCCTGCTTGGGATTCTCTCTGCCCCTTCCCTGCTTTCTCTCTCTCAAAACTAAATAAATTTAAGAAAAGGAAAACCTTTGCCAACTTTTTAAGCAGTACAAGAAACACTTTAACCGAGTGGGTTATAATTAAAGACTTTAACTCAAATTGGTTAGTCAGCAACTGTAAAATGTTTTTAAATAAAGAATCATTGACATAAAAGAAAACAATCTATCTGCTCTTTTCTTCCAGCCATTTAATCAGTGTTACATAAAAATTTTATCAACGAGTTCACCAAGGGTTTAAAGAAAGAACTCAGCAAGAATAATGGAATCTATTTCCAAATCTAGTCATTTTTGAAGAACTACACTTACCTATAGGTTCTTTTTTCATATATGCCCTCTTTTTGTAACAGGTATTATCATTTTACAAAATAATTGCAAGTGACTTTCCAACAATAATGATTTTGAATGATCTTAAAGCTCTAAATTATGATTTTAGTCTTGCTCACAGACATCTTCCAAGTGAATAATTCTGCAATTATTACACAAAACGGAATAACAACTGCCCCACAAAAACCAAATAACTCCATGATGGCCCTAATTTGAGTTTGCTGTCAGATTAAACTCAATAGTAGTATAAAGAAAATCAATCCTTTGAGCACAAAACTCTACTGGGTTCTCTCTGCCTGCAGAATGAAGTCAAACTACTTAGGCCAGTCTTCATAGAATATCAGGATTCCTCTTCCACTTTTAATTCCCATCTCTCTCATCCTGGTGCCCTTCACACCAATCAAAGGAAACCATAATTTTCTACCGTTACCTTGCTTTTCCTTACTTCTCACCTTTTTTTCATGCTTTGCCTTCCATTTCAAATATTCTTCCTCAAATCTCTCTTTGAGACTCAACTCCAATACAATTTCTTATCTACACACATTTCTTTCTGCTGTTTGTATATATGATAGTTAATTTTATGTGTCAACTTGGCTAGGCCCTGGTAGCCGATTTTAGGTTCATACATCAGTCCAGATGTTACTGTGAATGTATTTTTCAGTTGAGACTAAGCTGTTATCAGTAGACTTTGAGGGATGCCTGACTGACTCGGTCAGCTGAGCTTCCGACTCTTGATCTCAGCTCAGGTTTTGATCTCAGGGTCATGAGTTCAAGCCCCATATTGGGCTCCATGCTAGACATGAAGCCTACTTATAAATAAAATAAAATATAAAATAAAATAAAATAATAAAATCAGTAGGCTTTGAGTAAAGCAGATTACCCAACATAATAATATAGGTGGGCCTCATCCAACATCTGAGGCCTTAGAAGACTGAGGCCTTCTAATTCAAGACTACAACATCAAGTGTTCCCAGCTCTCCAGCTTGCTGACCTACCCTGCAGATTTCAGACTTCCCAGTCTGCATAATTCTGTGAGCCAATTCTGTAAATCGCCCTCTACTGATAGATATGTGTACACACCAAAAGAAATAGACTAGACCATAAACACTATATATATACACGCACATACATATGCACATAAATACAACTATATATACAAACACACGTGTGCACATGTACACACACACACATATAATCCTATTGATTCTGTATCTATGGAGAACCCTAATTAATACAGTATATATCTGATTTCCCTACTAGAATTTAAGCCCATCAAATATAATCATCTTTCCATTCCTCAAAGAACAATGCTTTAAAAATACTATGTTTAATAAATATTATTTTAATATTGTTTGGTCAATAAATGAACAAATATTTGGTCAATTCGACCTGTGAAATAACTCAATTTAATTTTTTATTCTCTCTTTCCTTTGGCAGTAGTGTAGTTCACATCTTCCTTATCTATACTATTTGAGTTTCTACAAGGATATCTCTGCTTCCAGACTCTTCCAATTCCTGCCCAAATGTATCCTTCACACTGCCATTTAGCTTTCTCTCCAAATTACACACACACACACACACACACACACACACACACACACACACTTCTGTGTCTAGCTATTAAACACGTAATGGCTTTCCATTGCCTGGAACCTCTTTACAGCTCTCGTGAATATTTATTGTGCCCTCATGGCTACTATTATCTTACTAATCTCTCTCATCAAAATATTCTTAATAGGTTGCTCAGTTAAAAAGAAGTTTTCTGTGATATTCTTTATCTTTATAACCAGCAAAGG